CAATTATTCATATCGATCGAGGGGTGGGATATAAATAAATAGTATCAATTCATTGACACCGAGTTATCAAATCATCTAGTTTTTGAAATCTCGTGACTCCATGTGTATATCGGTAAATTTCATTGGTACTTTTGTGCGGGCGATACGTATGCCAACTTTGGTTGATTACGTCGTTATAATTATACAGTAGCGTTTTATGACCCAATATGGGTAGTAAACCAACCCAACTGTGAGCTACGTTGATACGATAACTGTTTCTGTGCATACATACGTGTAGGAAGAAACTTGATGTCTCGCGTTATAAACTTGATGTTACCAACAAAAGTATAAATAAAACTTGGTCGTAAAAGTATATATACAGCGCGTAAATGGAGAGGAGAGTAACGGCGGGACCAGTAGAGCATGTGTAGAGCATATCTACACACGGGACTCCCTGAAACTAATGCGAGACGTCAGTTTTGTAATTTATCTCGGATACCGGGGCTAAGTCTACTCGGCATCCGTCGAGATTTATGACGTATACCTACGATGCGCATTGATGAGCACCCGCACCGATATGAAAAGCTCGAAGGGAGGTTTTTGGCTTTTCCAATGTTATACCAGTATGGGGCTGAAGTAATAATGATTATGTTGCAACATGCAAAATTTTGGAGCATAATGCCCCAGAATCCGATTTCAATCGACACCAACGACAATGCACCCTGATAATTTCATGAAATAACTATATGCGCTATATATCTTCATTAACTTTATCTATTGAAGAAAAAAGAGGGATGTAGCAAGTAAAAAAAAAGCCCAGAAAGCGAACAAGGGGGGAGGAAAAACAAGCGAATCAACGATTGGCAATGGAAAAAGGATCAAGCGAGAGAGAGAGAGAGAGAGAGAGAGAGAGATATAATTAAGTCGATAAGCGTAGGAGGAGGTATAGAAGACGGAGGAAAAACATAGAGAATGAGTCGGCCTGCCTACTTGGCGCAGCTTGCTTGCATGCGCAAGGACCGACTCTCCTGCGGTGCATGGGCAGCTACAGAAAAATATGCAACAGTACATATAGGTACCTATATATACGTCGGCAGAGGATCAACGGGGTTGAACATTCCGCGCATAAAAACGACGACGGTGTGTGTGTGTGTGTGTTTGAAAAACAACGAGTTCGCGAGCAGTACGAGAGGGTGGGCAAGAAGTGGTCTGCAGCCGTGGATTATCGGGTGCAAAAGTCGGACTCTACTGTATACTCCTACGTATGTATTTTTCCATAAATACACAAGCTAACGATGAATCGATGATGATTTTCGTTTTGCTATGTAGATACATCTAGAACGTCGTTGAAATATACGGTTTGAAAAATTGTTTTCGCCTCAAAAACAAGAGTGTCTCGGTGTGTACTCTTTATTGACACATCAGTTTTCCGGAGTATACATTTTCTGATTTTTTTTTTTTTTCCTATTAAGCATGACTATAACGTTAACAATAAAATGGTCTTGAATAAAAAGCTTTCACTGCTCAAACCCCAATACAACAGTATAGGTAAAGGTAACACGCGTCACGCTGTCATAGAAAGCTCGCATAAAGCGGGGAATCCCCCATCTATTAGCCGGCCGCATGAAGTCCCAATCCAGTCACAGTGGAAATCTCATCGGAATCATCTCGCACTCGTACAATTTATCAACTAAGCATATAATTCCACGATAAAAAGTTGCAAGCACCCCACATCTGCAAAATGTCCAGGTTGCAGTAGTGTTGTTAGGTATAAGCTCCCAAAAAAAAAATAAATAAATTTAAAAAAAAATAATAATACTTGTCTTCCTCTTTCTCTTCAGAGCTCACGTGTAGCACTGCATGGAAATTGATACGCACCCCTATAATACACGTAACTTCCGAAGGAAGGCCCCAGCTCTCTCTCGTGGCCGCGCAAGTGCGAACGATAAGATCGTCACGCCGAGAGCGAGAAGAGCGCCCCCGCGTTTGTTGCCACTGCTACCAACCATACCCACCGCACTTACACGCTCTTCTCTCTCGAGATATATATCTTGAGAATTTCATTAGCATGATATGGCACAGAGATGCCTATATACGTGTATGTGCGAAAAAAAGCTCTACTGGGCCTCTGTGTAGGTGTTGTTACGGGAAAAAAATCGGCTGTGCCTGCCTATACTACTTGTATGGTATGGCTTTTGTCTTGCCGTTTTGTTTGTTTTTTTTTTTTTTTTTTTTTTTTTTTTTTTCCAGGCCACACTCGACGAAGCGTGTTCCTCTGAACTTCGACCGGAGCCTCGGCCGCTGCCGTTGTTTTCGGCTTATCGGGGGGGGGGGCTTCCCTATGACTTTGCATTGCTGCTCTTGGCACCGGAGCTTATCTCCCGCGTGCTTTCCCTCTCGCGGTTGTAAACTCGACTTCGAGTGCTACTTACTCGTGTGCTCTTCGCACAGCCTTCGCGTATTTACAGATAAGGTGATTTGTTTATACTCAAGAGATGCTGGCGATTGACCATTTGTGCGACTCCCTGCACACGTGTACTTATACGTACGTATATGGTTTGTTATGCACGAAGCGATCTTTTTTTACCCCTTTTTTTTTTTTTTCGAGCTTCGAGTTGTTGCCCCCAGAGACATTGTTGCACCATGAAAGAGTCTCCATAGGTTTATCTTACCGGTATGCCACAATGTTTTAATCATTTTCGATCTTTCTTTCTCATATTTTTTCATGCTCGTTTTAGCGTTTATCTTTTTGAAATGTACATTACCCCATACGCGCGTTTAAAGACTTTTTTTTCATTCGTTTTCAACAAGCCTTAAAATATTTCATGACAATTGTAAATGGTGAACGCCACGTGGTTTTCATTTTAAAAGGGAAATCAAGTATAAATTTCAAGCCCGTCACTTTTATTGCCTCAAACTGCGGCTTTTACCTCGTTTTCTGCCAAATAAAAACATACTTACCACAACGTATCCTCAGCGCAGCCTTATTACCGATGGATAAAACGCTCGTGCGATCGCAGCCCCCCAGTTACCTCCGGTTATAGCGACCGGAGCCGTATTGCTGCCTACGTACACTGCCTTTTACAAGATTCCCAAACGCAAAAACACACACGGCGCTCTTCTCCAATACACGTTTTTCCCGAGATATTCCACATCGAGCTACATTCCGATACCTACCGAACGTATAATATATAGGGATGGGACGAGAAGTGTGTGTGTGTAACACGAGCGCAAAAACGAAACGTCTTTACCGTCTTTGCAGCCTTGATCGTTTAATCGTTTTACTCGGTAGCTATACTTACTTGCTTTTGAAAACCTCGATAGTGGAACTGACTTTATTTTTTTTTTCTTTTTTGTTTTTCGTTTTTTCGTTTTTACCATCGGTATCGAGTTGTACCAACATTCATGAATTTTTCCATTAAGTCAATTGTAATGAAACTTCGTAGGGTGGCTTGTGTGTGTTGGGATAAATGTTTATCGAGTGCACACAAACGGGAACTATAGTTCCTTGGCTGATGTTGTAAAATGATTTTTTAAGATTTTTAAACTGACCTGTGAATCATTTTCAAAGTGGAGAAAATTGACGATAATCCATCCTCGCGTGCATCGTTACACCTTGATGATGTGTTGAGAGTTCATAAGTATACACTTGTAGATTCATTTATACCAAAGAGAAGAAAAGGGTTGAATGAACCGTTTTAAATTTAATAAGATACAAATCAATTTTATTACGACAACCGATGGGTTTTTTATTTCTTGAATATGTCTATAGTATGTCTTGCTTTGATCTTACGTTCAACGGCAACTGTTATGAAACTCATCTCATGTATTATCGAAAAACAACATACTTTGCAACTTCCAAAGGTAAGTTCGAGTGCTCATGTGCGTGTACATGAACGTGTCGTCGAAAAACACCGTTTCCAATAAACTCGACGATCCCCTCCGTCTTTTGCACATGCCTGCAGTGCATAAAAGTACCCACATACGTATACACGACACCAATGCATACAAGTTTCAAGCGTTGCAGCGACAGGTACAAACGCAACGCGAAGGCATACAACGCAGTATAATAGACGTACCCTATACGTATATAAGCGTGTACATAATATATAAAATATAAGCGCCGAGGAGCGAGACCATTAGCTAAGTAATCGGCGCGCATACCTATATACATACGCGGCCTAGCCGCATCGCCGCATGTGAGCCCGGGAAAATTGCAAGGCCATCCATCAAGCTCCTCGTGGCTCTCGTGTATTTTATAGCAACGCGATCCCCTTCCTTTTTTCCCCCCTACCTCACTATACCCATATCCCATCTGCCCCTTTTCTCGATTTTTCAACCATTTCGTGGTATATAATAACTAGGAACTAGATGGTACTTTTTTTTTTTTTTTTTTTAGTTGTATACTTACTTGCCTATATATTATGTTGGTGGTGGTGGTTTTTTTCGTCGCTGTTGTTCAAGAGAAGATGGGAAGGCTTCATAAATCAATCGGATTCTCGATTGACGTGATACAGTCGGTCGTTACGTGCCGGCCAGAGTACGGATCAGATAAATTTTTTCTCTCATATGGTAATTCATCACACGGCCGAGACATAAAATAATTGGAGCCTGAAATTGGTTGGGTTTGTAAAACGATGAGCTCGTTACCCCCTCTCTGAATCCTTTTTTTTTCCTTTATACTCATATATAGTAAATAAAATCTATAATCATACGTGCTCTTACGGTGCGTTAATTTAATCATAGGTACCCAAAAATCTTTTCCATTTCAGCCATATGTAAAGCTTCGCACGGCTTTTATTTCGAATGAGTATATGTTAAAAACAGCCCCTGAAACTTATCAGTTGCAGGAGGATGAGCAGGCGGTGCAGACGGTGGACCTGGTGGCGGACTGCCCGTCGGCGGTAGTGCAGGCGTCAGTGTCACCGCCCTCGTCGTCGCGGCCCATCGCCGCGGCCTGCAATTACGACGCTATAACAGCCAGTCCGAGATCCCGGGAGCCGAGTCCCAGTGCTATCAGCATGGGCCAGCGGTCGAGCCGCATGAGTCTTCAGAGACCGAAAATATCACTCACCTGGGTACTGCGAAACCAACAGCACGAGGGCTTCATACACGACCCAGGTGCGCTTAACAATAACAACAGCAACAGCAACAACCAGCAGCAGCAGCAGCAGCAGCAGCAGCGGCAGTCCACGGTCGTCGGTGTCGTCGAGATCCACAGGGAGAAGGACACCAATCCCGGTAGGTGTGAAGATTTTCATTACGCTGTACCTGTAAAGGAGGTTTCGTTAATATTCATACAAAATCCGTCAAAGCCCAAATTAATTTTATGGTTTTTGCTTTCTCATCAGTTAAAGAGCGAAAGGAGGAGGAGAGGGTCCTTCGCAGAAGCACAAAAAGTGCCAAGAGCGTTAAAATTACCGACGGCTCCAGGAGCAAGGAGGAAGACAAGGAGAACGCGATAGAGAGCATCGAGAGCTTTAACGACAAGCAGGTGTCTTTGCCCTTACGGAGGATAGATAAAAACGATAATTACGACAATTACGACGAGGTAAGCCGCGCGATTCAGCCAACAAACAAAAAATTACTTTTTCCTTATTTTTTGAAAAACAGATCATAGTGGAAAATGACATCCAGGAGACTAGCTTCACCATAATCACGATAGAGAACGAACAAGGGCAGCAGGTAAACAAAGAGCGCCAGACGACGCAGTCAGCAAAAGAGGTCAAGGACAGCGACAAGGTGAAAAGGACAAGTTCCGAGTCGAATTCGATAGACCGCGAGGTGAACAGTAGCGCCCAAAGTGGCCGTGAGAACAAGCAGCACAAGCATCGGAAAAACAAGCGCGGCCACAGATCCAAGACGTCCAGCAAGATCATCTTCGACATTGCCGATCTCGACTCCCTTCTCGTCAAAGTAAGCAAAAATTCGTCATTTCGATACACCCTTCGGAACATCTATACACTTCCACTTGTAACACGATATCAATTTACATTACAGGCGTCTATCGATAAGCCGGCCAACATCCCGGTGGTACTGACATTGCCCTCGGTACTCTACCAAACGCAGAGCGGCACCCAAGCTGAGCATGGACTGCCACTAGGCACGGTTGTCAACGCCATATTCAAAAAGCAGGCCTGGCTGTACGTACAAACGCCACACGGTGAGGAGGGTTACGTCGACTCCTCGGCCTGCATGCCTCTTGGGATACTTCCCCAGAGCAAACCCGGGCGCTGCTGGGAGGACCCGACCGACGTCTTCCCCCGACCACTTGGTAATTTTTAACTGATTTTTTTACCCTTATTCACACTTCTTATGACTCGTTTGTCGCATCAGGAAACTTGACAGACGTGGAAAAGCTGCGGGGCTCGCGCTCAGAGTGCGGGAGCGACCTCATCGTAGGCAACGCAGGCACCGTTCGAGAGTACCAGCGTCGCTCGACCCCCACGTCATCGGCGAGAACTGGCTCCCGGTGTAGCAGCAGCGCAGCCTGTGCCAGCAGCAACAGCAGCAACTGCAACAGTAATAACAATGTGAACAACAACAACAACAGCAGCAGCAACAAGGAGCGCAGCATTGATCGGTTGTATGACTTGCGTGCTAGTAGCAGCGCGAGTGCCAGAAGTCCTACTTACAGCGGTGATCGTTACGATGGCATTAGGCGACACACGCTGTTGGTTGTGAGCGAGAATTACGAGGGACCGGAGCAAGAGGGACGACTGAAGGTAACCAAGGACGAGGTCGTGGTGCTGCTCGGGGCTGAGATCGAAGCCGGGCTAGAGTGGTTTTGGGTGAAGAACGAGAAAGGCCGCAAAGGACTCATACCTGCCTCGGTGGCTGAACACGGTTTTCTATGAATTTGGGCAACAAACGAGTTTTCTTTCCTCCCCTCGGGATGTCAAGTGCGTTTTGCTTTAGGCTCTTCTCGGTACGATTAATTTAACGCTTTTAACGCTTCCTTGACGACGACAACGCGATTAGTGCGAGACACATGTGTTTGTACCGTAAAAACAAGTGCACAGCGATGAATTATCAGTAAAACGTAGTAACAATAACTTAAACGAAGTATTTTCACGCACAACTTGAATACTTGTATCTAGTATACGATTTTTTTGTAACATAGAGAGTGTACCATTAGTGCGGTTCAATTATTAATTAATGTTACACAGGTATATGATCGAAATTATATATTATAAGCTTGTGATATAGTTTTGTATACACAATTTGTACATTTGTAAAATAAACATATTTAATAATTCAACATCGAAGTTTTCCATGATGTGATCTTGTTTTAACTAATTTTACTTCTACTTTCAAGAATTTTGGGTGATACATATTTTGTCATTATGGCTCGAACTTCACGTAAAGTACAAATGTTCAAGATAATTACACTTTAAAATAATAAAATAAAAAATATAAATTTAAAAAAAATGAAAATTTCAATGAATTCTTGATATTGGCAAAAGTGTATTATCAGGAACGAAAGGTTTTCGTATCCTAAAGGTTGAATATGATTATCAAAGAAAATTAAAAAAGTCAGTCATCTTATACCAATATCCAAGAATGGAAGTAATGACGTTCATATGTTGAAATAATAAGAAAACTGTATTAAATACATGTAGGTATGATTACAATTCAAACTTGCGTCCATAGTACTTATTTAAAGCATATCTGAATAATTCAAGTGTACTATAGTACTGATGACTAGGTTCAACTTTGATTTCATACATTTTAGTAATACTGTTGATTAGATCTTTGAAAATATCTGCTGGGTCTACTTCGGACATTTCAAACTTTTTTTCATAAACAGGTTTTTTCCACTTTTCACAGTGAATCAGTGCTCTTGCAATTTCAAGCTTTTCCTCCGAATCGGTGATAAAAGACTATAATTTACGTACTATAATTTACGTACAAACCCATATTTTTAGTTGAAAATATTAAATATAATCGTTACTTACAAATATGGATGGTAAACTTTCTTGCAAAGACCACCCATGTTCACAGGCTTCGCAATTGCAGGTGAAATAATACAAACTCAAGATTTCATCTCTTTCTGCTTTAGGAGTACGAGCAAAATGACAACCATAATCATCTACCACCTAGCAAATCAAAGTACCCCTTTCATAATAGTATACAACGTTTGATACAGGTTGAAAGTTAAAAGTTGTATGTTAATTTTTTCATACAAACCTGTGCTCCTTTTGGAATTGGTTGTAATGCAAATAATACTTGATGTGCAGCATTATCTATAAAAACTGGGCATCTAGTTGCATTTGGATTACAACTATGACTTATAAAGCTAGATACAGGGCCAACAACAGCACCAAGCTTTAAAAAATCATGTGAATAAATTTCAGCTACCTGTAAATTGAAAAGTAGGTTGTCTTAAAATAAGTGATTAGTGAAAAATGAGGGCTACATAAAAACTATCATGAATACCTCGTGATTGTTTAGCTGGATTTTCATATAATTAAGAGCATACTGTTGAGCAAAGAATAAGGCATCTTTATTTTCACATAAAGCAGTTACCCCTTTGTTTGAATTGCCAAATAAATTTGTAAATTTATCGATATAAAATAAAAGAATAGCCGAATACAACGTTATCATTATGATTTCCTTTTTCTTTCGATAACATTCATGTGTCACAAGAGTATACAATGGCCTGTATTTGTCACTATAAAAAATTCCATCATCGGAATAACTTTTCTTAAGGTAATCTAAAATTTTAGAATATGCACATTATAACAGCTGAAATTATGAATTAACAAATTATAGGAAGAAAACTATTTTCATTTAATAATGTACTCCAGTTACCTTGACAATCATCTATTCTACCCAATTCCCTTCTCAGGTTTTCAATACTCCCATACTCTCTAACAGCGAGGAGGGTCAATTTTAAGGAAAACATTTCTAAATTAGGTGCTTTCAGGGCCATAAAGTATCCTTTCACAAAGCACTCAATATCATGGTACTGCTCCCACGCATCATTCTTGCATTCCTCGGAACAGTACATAGCATAAATGCAGTTTTCACAAGGTATGCTATCCCACATTCTTTTAAGACAATGCGAACAGTGGGTGTAAATGTTGGATGGATCCAAGTACATGACGTACGGTTTTTCAACAACGAGACACTCCCCAGGTTTAATGTCACGAGCAGCAACGTAGTGCCTGCCCACGTTCTCATCAAAAGTCAGATCAATAGCTTCTGAGGCAGATGGAATGTATGGATGAGGCACAAAGCCAGGCAATTCTCTAGAAGTCTCCTTGAGCTTGGGTATCTCGGTGATCTGGCTGACATTGTCGATCCTCGTCTCGAGCTTCTCTTTCACCTCGTCGCTCATGTCCAAGCTTTCCAGCAGAATTCTGGCTTCTTCGCATACATCGTCGACGTCTTCTTGACCCAACCTTTTGAGACACTTGGCCTTCCTGGCGAGCAGGTTCGGCCTCAAGTGCTCGGGATAGCAGCCTTCCAGAGCTTTTTCCACGTCTCGGATGCACTCCTCATATTTGTACAGGTGAAACAGAGCAGATGACCTGTTGGCATGAGCCCGCGCCAAGGCGATGGAGTACTGTTCTGCCACGGCGATGCTCTTGGAGTACACCTCTCTGGCTTCGAGCATGGCCGACACTCTACCTTTCTGTTTGAACATTATAGCATCGGCTTCCTTTCTCAGCATGACCGATTCATTGTTATTTTTTCCCTTGCTAGAACACGGTAGGGGCAGTACTTTTTCAAGTGCCTTCAACGTTGAGCTTACGCGGGACGCAAAGTCTGTTTTTTTCTCCAAAGGCTCGTACACCTCATCAATGTTCAAGGATGATATCAAGGCGTCCAGAGACATAACTGTTGCAGCAATTAATCGACAAAACTGTCTCGAATGCTTGCTTACAATATAACACAAGTTTTTTTCTCGGATTCTTTTTTTCTCACTGTTATCCACACGTAAATGTACAGTCAGAACTACTTAGGTATTGCAAAGTGCAAGGCAGGAATTTTAACGTGATTCAACAATTCAATGATCTCGTCGATCACACAATTATCTGTGGGTGTATTCCGCGAACGTTACATCGGAATCCACTTTGATAAATTTCGAACGTCAACTACTTTTGAATTTACAATCTCAAAGTCATATTAGCGTTTATGAAAAGCAGAGGATTGTTTTGAGACTGTCGAGACTCTCAAGAGTCACCAAAATATTTATTGGCAATTGTTACATACCTACATATGTTTACCATAAAACACAGCTCAGTTTTACGACTTTTAAAAATTTAAATGTGCATCTATTTTTTATTTTTCAACTTGAAAATTAGCGCTATCTAGCGAGTCTGATTCTAAACTTAAACTAAGTTTTCTTTCAAAAGAAATAAATTATAGTACTTTTTCAAGTTTACTTAAAAAAGTATTATATTTCTTTTTTAAGAAATTCACTGTAGTCCGCAGCGGAGGGTCTATTGGAGCCGATCTACTAGACCCTACGCTCATTTTATAGAAATTCAATAGGAATACTTGCGAGGCTATGGTGTCCGCNAGGGCTGGAGACTGAATTTCCCAAATTCAACGACTAAGTACTCAAGTAGACGAGGGAGGAAGTCCAACGCGCGGTGTCAATGACGACGAGGACGAGAAAACCTGTCAGCCATCTGATCTTGTCATTTCATAGCAATGAAGAAGAAGCTTATAAGAAAAGGGATTGTCTTCACAAAAAATATCATCTACCGGTGCACTGTGTGCACACACAGCAAGACTTTGTGTACTGTACCGTCTGTACCAGAATCAACTACCCTAGACTAATGACTAATCCTTGCCTACCAGCCTGGAGTACCAGCAGGTGTTAATATATATATATGTATAGGTATATTTTGTTAAGAGAACCGAACTGAACCAAAAGTAGCTCGAACAAATCTATTGTAGACCAAGCACTGAAGCCCGAGGGTGGTCGGAAATCTAAACCAGCCGCAAAGCCCAGTAAGTATACGACTTAAAACTCGTGAGAGTTTATGTAGTAATTGAAGTAGTACCATGTAATAAATTTTGTAAACCAGCCGCAACATAAACCAACAATTTTGAAATTAAGAGTTTATTGTCTGATGTTATTTGCGGCAAGATTAGAATTTGTTTTTTTTACTAAAAATTCAACCTTTAAACAAATTAATCCATGGCCAATCGAAGGTAACTTTTAATCTTGCCGCAAATGATATTCCACTATACAACTTATTGTTTTCTATCTTTCGGTTAAAATTGCGGCTGGTTTAGATTTTTGATTACTCTCGGACCTTAGTTCTTGAACTGTAAGATTTTATAAACCAGCCGCAAGGGGAGGTGAGTGTTCTAAAAGTCAAGCTTCTTCCTTATTGGTAAGTTAATTATGACATAAGTTATTTTCAGACTCATTTAAGCTACCAATAAGTGATGAGCTATACTTTCGGAATCGGAAGTAATCTGTAAAGATCTGCTTGAGCCGATAATCTAGATGAATTCGCAGAAAAAAAATTAATTCATTAAAACAATGTATGATAGACTTACAATAAAATTATTGCCGCTAAACTCTCCTCTGGACTGTTCTTACGTATATGCATATACATATATATACATTACCTCCTCATGTACCCTTGTAAGCCTTTCCCCTCTTTCACTCTATGATAACGCTGATTTCTAATTCTTCTTTTTTCTCTTCCCTCAAGACAGCTTGGACAATTGTTTGTATATTTACATGTTTAATAATAAATAAAGGAACATTACGATTAATTGTAGAAACGTACGATAACGCATTTCAATTAACTGAATTTTATTATACTGGGCTTTAATACATTGCGCGTTTAATTCACACTTGCGATATTAAACATGTTGAACGTTAGCCACTTGTTGAATTTCAATGATTCATTACAAACGGAGAGTAACTTGATTTTTCAATAAAACGAAAAATTCGATTGAATGACAAGTTATGAGTAACTAGGAGATTGTCTAAAAGCCGTACATTGCAACTAGATAACAATTATTTTACTTTTAATTCATTTCTTTTTTTGTTACAAACACGTTTCTCGAAATGTTCAACTTTTTGACAATCACTCAAGTACAGAAAAACGATACCCTCAATTATGTTCTAAAGAAGAAATAAATTAGTATCCAAAATCAACTAAATTTAAAATTTAAAGGTAACAAAAAAAAATTCGCTAATGTACAAATGTACACATTACATTAGGACTGTTTATCGTTTTTCACCAAATTATGTTATTGTTCACCTTAATCATAACACTCGGGAAACTTTAGCAGTTTTCGAATCGAAGCACTTGTAAAGTAGCATTGTGGTAACTTTTAACAAAATATTAATCATCGTACTCATCGTTATACTCGTAACAATTTTCGTCAAAGTTCTGCCAGTCATGGTAATGTCCCGAGTCCATTCCTAGGAGTTCATCGCCTTCGGAGAGCAATTCAATGATAGCTCTAGGAATAAAAATGTATAAATAATCACAAGGTAAATTTAAACAATCGCAAAATTTTCATGAAACAGCGTGAAAATTTTACCTTAAAATATTTCCTTCATAGGTATTCCAATCAATTGTTCCAGGATTGGATATCTTATACTCTAGTAGATAATCCATTTTTTCGTGAAGTTTCTGAAAGGCAAGGTAAATTCAAACGAATGTAAAATATTTTTTAATTGAAAAATTTACCTGTATTATTGCTGCCGTCGACAGATCACACATAAAAGATAAGTCGTTTGCAATTGTAATCTTGCAGTTATTGTGTTCCTGCACTGAAATATACAGTTACTATTAAAATGAATCATTCAACATAACTTCTTCTTTGGTAATGTTATTGTTTATATACTCATAGAACTATTTGGAGAAGCAAACAGTAGTGCCAAAAGACTGACAGCTGTGGTATCAAATAGATAAATCGCCGTGGATTTTCTCTTCAAGAAGTACGTCAAGTATGGACTAGGAAACTCGGCTTTTTTATCATTCACACTAGCCGGGTGCAAGTTCACGAGTTCTTTTTCGATTGTTATTGCCTTTACTGTTTTCTTTGTTGCTCTTCTGGAATAATGATTCACTTATTACTGTCGTTTGAATAACTCGAGCACATATAAATTGAAAAAGAAGCTTACTTAATAATCGCGATATTTGGATACAACCCAGCGCAGACGATAGCTTTGATGAGCGACTTGTTGTGTGAATTTCGATTTGCATAGTCGTCATTTGGATTCCTGCTATTCAAAAACTTCATATCGCACAGATAATTTGAAAACTGATGTTTCATGTCAGATAGTAGTTTCAGCGTGTTCCAGGAGAGAAAGTATTCTCTACAAAAACCCCACGCGTTTCCCCGCATGCTTTCGAAACGCCTTAGAGCTTCAGCTAGAGCTATGTGATCGCTAAACTGGTTCATTCCCAGCTCCAATTTCTTTTGTCGAGCCTCTTCCTCCATACCTATTGGACAGTAGAAAGCATCTTTGAACGAAAGACTGGCAGCTATCGAAAATATCGGATCGATACAAGAGAACATCGCAGCCCAAAGTATCATTTTCCCCGTTCGAGGATCTAAAGGTAGCTGAGCCAAGTGATAGCCGAGTGGAGTCAAGTTCTCTCTTTCGTCAAGAGCGTTCAATTGTCTCAGTAAATTTATAGAAAGCTCGATCGCCTCGGGATTAGGTGGATCCATAACGCTGGACAAGAACTTATGGGCTTTGCCAATTTGCAAGATTTTTACTTGAAGGATCACTTCCTCTAAACGAGTTCTGAGCATCTCTGGTTGAGGGTATTCGTCAAATGTTTGAGCGCGAGCTTTTGTGTACAGATGGTAGCATACTCCCGGTTTTACTCTGAAAAAATTGAAAAACCAATGTTTAAGTCTTCCGTTTGAAAATACTGTGGGTGTCAAGAAAAAGTACCTTCCAGCTCGACCTCTGCGCTGCTTTGCATTGGCACAGCTCACCCATTCCGCTTCCAGTGTTTGTAAATTATTCATGACATCAAAATTAGACATTTTAGTTTTTCCACTGTCAATAACGTATACAACGTCCTCTATCGTTATGGATGTTTCAGCAATATTGGTTGCAATTATTATTTTACGGATATCTTCCTCTGGCACTTCAAAAATGAGTTTCTGATCGACGGTCGGCATTCTCGAGTGCAACGGATAAATTGTGTACCTATCTGTTACAATATTGTTTATTTTAAGAAACCAATACCCAATTAAATATGTTTTCAGTCCTAATTTAGGTATCACCTTTTGGAAAATGACCGCTCTCAAGCATCATTCTGTTCAATTTTGAAATGTCCATTATACCAGGCAAAAAAATTAATATTGCACCAGGACCTTTTGTCACACAAATGTATTTTGTTAATTCCATAATGAGATTTAGTGAAAGCTCCTCACACTTAGGATTTGCCAATTCTTTAAACACGAAAGAGGGATAAGTTTGCTGTAAACAAATTAATAGCAATCAAATCTCTTTTTTTATTTTGTGTAATAAATTATATATAAATTTCTGCTTACCAATCTTTCCAAGTGCTTGATGTATGGTTTTATGAGGTTATTGTACTCTTCGAGTTTTTTCAATGCTTCTCTTCTTTTCATAGCTTTTTTTCCATGGCCTTTGGCCTTACCAGGGACATTGGGATCCACCGGAAATTGAAATCTAATAAAAAAAGAAAAATAAATTTAATCTAAAATATGTAACTTTGACACATTTAATGTTTGCGAATTCATGGAATGGAATTGATTTGTATTGCTCTACCTTGTTGCTGCTATTGCATCTTCTAAGTAAAATTCTTCAACAGGATAAGTAAGCCCGGGAATGTGAATCATTGGACAATTTCCATAATACGCGGAAAATTGTTCAGAATTTAATGTCGCACTCATTAAAATAACTTTCAAATCAGGCCTCTGCAGGAAAGATATCAAAGTACAATATGATCAAATTTAAACGTATTTGACTATGACATGTAACTAATTTACCTTAGGAATGACTGATTTAAGTAAAGTAATAATAAAGTCACTTTGTGTACTTCGTTCGTGAATTTCATCTAAAATAATGTGAGAGTAATCTCTCAAAGCCGGATCGGACTGCATGAATTGCAATAACATACCAGTGGTGCAAAAGGATATGCTTCCGTAAGATCTAGCCAGTTTCCTTAAGTAATCGAGAGAATTTGGTTTAAGACTCAAAAATACACAAACGTAAAATTGAATATCAAACTTAAAAACGCTGATTATACCTTTCCAAACGTATGTGAAATCCTACAGATTTTCCTACAGTTTCCGCTCTTTCACTAGCAACTCTTTCAGCCACCGATATCGCTGATATTCTTCTGGGCTGAGTGCAAGCAATACTTGTGACACTACCTCTACCACATTCAATTTCGTAATCTAATATAAACTGAGCAACTTGAGTAGTCTTACCACAACCTTTAAAACATTGCGAGTTGAATAATTTTTTTTTAAAGTTTTAATTAATATACATTGTAATATTTACCTGTTTCACCGCTTATAACTATAACTTGGTTTCTATTAATAAGATCAACAATTTCGTGTCTCATTTGATATGCTGGTAATCGAGCACGAAATTTTAACATATTTTTGTGCTGAGTACTTTCCATAGTTCTATTCAACTCGTGTAACAACTGTTTGTCTATACTTTCATTTCTACGCAACTTTGGTTCAGAATACAAAGATTTTGCCAAATTATCTTGCAAATTACCACTAATAATATTGAGGAATTTTCTCTTGAACTGAGAGTCGTTGATGTGATCATATCTAGATTCAATATCACTCCTGGAGAAATTCTGATCCCTTGCATAAAGCTGTCTGTCGTACGAGCTCCTTGGTTCTTCCATCAGAGATCGGATTCTTTGCTCAATGGCAGGCCTTAATTTAAATACCTTAGTTTCATGCTGTTTTTTTTCCTTTTTTTCTTTCTTCATGCTTCGTTCTTTATAAAACATCCCAATTTCTCTTCCTTTCAAATGAGGAGGATGTCGTTCTCTACCTCTAGAATGGCCTGCATCATCGCTTTGTTGCTTGGTATAACTGGCAGAACTTCCGCCACCTGTATCACTTCTTCTGTTTTTGTAAAACATCCCGATATCCCTCCCTCTTCGGTTCGATGGAAAGTCTCTACCTCTGTCCCTTGAATTACTTGTTCCATCACTTTGCTGTTCATTAAAATTGGCATAATTCGCAGGACCTAAATCATACATAGAAAGAATCATGTTAATAAAATGTGAGAAGCAAAAAAACTTTACTTTCACGATTTGTTTACCTGGTTCATCATCCTGACTTCTCCAGTTAGTCCTACAATCGTTTCTCCAATTATTCGATTGTTTATGACGTGACATGCTTATAAAACGATTCACAACTTGATTCGCTATTAAAGTTACATATGATGTTTTCTGTAAAAAGAAAATACAAGAAACGCTTCCAATTTTATACTTGTCTAAAGAAAAAAAATATGAATAAAACATCAATTGTCATTTAGAACATAACCCATGAAACTTACCTTGACTGTTGTGATAACTTATATATTTTTACGTTATGAGCTTTAGAAAGAATTCATAGGTAGCTTGTACTTATATTAACATTCCCTTATTTTCGTTAAATTGGAAGAATAAGAGCATTTATTTATTTGTACACCCGAAGTTGCGACTGCGATCCTTCATATTGTAATCGACGACGGTGTAAATAAGAAAAGGTACAATGTCTTTCTATTGTTTGTAAGTTGTAAATATGAACAAAATCAGCGATACACAAGAAAATAAAGTTACAAGTTACAAAATTTATATGACATTTTAAATCTTTGTTAAGTAGTGCAGGACAAACACAACAAACATCTTATCCGTTGATTTCGTTCCCGTTGAAACTTGTACTATAAACTTGTAAAGTTAAAAGTCGTAGAGACACATGATTATATATAAAGTTTAGTAGATCTGCACAGTGCACACACACGCTGTATGTGTAATTGCATAGGTAATTTTGTAAATAAGCCACTTAAGATAAGTAGAATATTTATACTTCCACAGGTCGACTTTTGGATTAAAGATAAATTGTAAATTTGCCGCAGATAGCACAGAATACGTCAACTTTTTATCGTCTATCTATAAAATTAGTTGCGGCTGGTTTATAGTTAATAAAAAGGCTCTACTGTAAGTAGTAATAGTTATTTGGATCAGCGCCATCTAGCGGTCTCCATTTTTGAGCGAAAAGTGGCCTCTAAAATTCTCAATCAGAGCAATCAGTATTAGAGCCATTTAATCAATCATAAACCAGCCGCAACTTATGATGAAGCTATAAAATGAAAAAATAACAATACATGTGTTTTTTGCGGCAAGTAAACAATCTATTTTTACTCGAAAATTTATCTATAAAAGTATAAATACATAGGAGGTCGATTTTTTGGTAGAAAATAGATTGTTAACTTGCCGCCAAAAACACATGTATTGTTATTTGTTCATTTTATAGCTTCATCACAAGTTGCGGCTGGTTTATGATTGATTAAATGGCTCTAATACTGATTGCTCTGATTGAGAATTTTAGAGGCCACTTTTCGCTCAAAAATGGAGACCGCTAGATGGCGCTGATCCAAATAACTATTACTACTTACAGTAGAGCCTTTTTATTAACTATAAACCAGCCGCAACTAATTTTATAGATAGACGATAAAAAGTTGACGTATTCTGTGCTATCTGCGGCAAATTTACAATTTATCTTTAATCCAAAAGTCGACCTGTGGAAGTATAAATATTCTACTTATCTTAAGTGGCTTATAAAATCGACCCTATTTACAAAATTACAATACTTTGGACCTTTTACCATTAACTCATGGAAGCACAGCCCTTAAATTTTATAGTTTTAATAAACAGTTAATTTATATACTACGTACATAGTATACTATTATTTTATAAAATTTGGAGCATTGGATCTCACTTTACCAGAGAAGGTTGGGTTCTTTGTTTATTTATAGTGCTTAAAATTTATTTCTCGGTTATAAATGTATTTTTTATTTAGTGAGATCCAATGTTCCATTCTTAGGACACATATAGATGCACACACATGCATAGGTAATTTTGAAAATATCGTTGATTTTATAAGCCATATAAGATAAGTAAAATAAAAGATACGTATTCTTTTCTATATCTATAAGATTGGTTGCGGCTGGTTTATAATCGATTAAATAGCTCTAGGCTCTAAAGCTCTGATTCAGAATTTTATACTCATATTTTACATTAACATGAGGTGTAATATATAATAATATAACATGGAGGGTGTGATATCGGAATAATCATGTATATAGATAAAGAGATACGTAATGTATTTGCGAAGCTAATTGGTTAAAAAACACGATAATGAAAAGGTAAAGTGAAAAAAAAACAAACTGAAGGTGTGTAGAAAAAGCTCGAAGCTCGAGAAAAAGACATCCTGTATTTATACGTTTAAATCTGCAGAAAAAAAAATCGTGAGTCAGAGTTATACACAGTTTCCAGCTACATAACAATTGAGTAAGCCATGAAAATGAAAACATATTGTTTTTTACCACTGTTATGAAGTTATAGAAGACACATATCCTTTTGACCTTTGTTGTCATCAATGAAGTGAACGTGGCGCTTAAAAGATATATTTTTTTTTTTATAAATTCCCTATAAATTAGGGGGTGTCATTCCCTACGGCGGCAACTTATTAATTTAATTTACGCCTCTTCTGGCGTGTTTTTTTCACAGAGATTACGGTTTCTTTCGGAAATTTTGATGTATACTTACTTGCAGCCCTATTGCATCGTGCCTGCGTCCGGATGGACTCCGGAGAACAAGAAGAAGAAGAAGAAGAAGAAAAGGAGGAAGGCGCCGTGGGTGGCCGGCACCAGTCGCTCTCTCCCTCTTCTTGGAGCGCGTGTGGTCCTTCCTTCATTCTCCTTCATGCAAGCAGAAGGGGATGTCTCTCTCAAAGCAGTGGCACGTCGTCGTCGCCGTCGTCGACGTTAGCGTCGTGCAGGATGTGCCGGTACTAAGGACCGCTAACCGCTGAGGAGGTGCAGCTTATAGTATTTCCTAGATGTGGAGGAGAGAGCCCTGGAGCTCCCCCAGGAAGACGACAAAGGTGAGGAAAAAAGAAATTTTTTTTTTTTTAGGAAGAATGGACTAAACAGCATATATGTCTAATGACTGACCAGAGAGATATTTTTTTTTTGGCGCGGAAACATCACAGAAAAGAATAATATAATTTTTTGATGTTTTTGTATTTGTCATTTTTCGTTTGAGGAATGCACATTTTTTTTTTTACGTCGAAATGCATTTTCGGCCTTTAGGAGAGTTTTTTCCCCTTCGTCTCATCTCTCTCCCTCTCCCTCTGCTCCCCCGATATACTTATTACTTTCTTACGTCTCATTATGTTTTATAGCATTTATTTTATATTTATACATTTCTAGAACATTATTGAATGTACACAAATGACAATTTTTTACTTTCAGATGATTCTGCTACTGTATTTTGCTACCCTCGTGCCTTTTGCGAGACCAGAGTTGGATCACGGTTTTGGAGCAAATAACAATCGCGACGATGAATCCTGGACCGAAACTAGTGTCCAGCATAGAATTATGGAACCCGCTTACCTTCTGCCAAGGCTTCCGCTCAGCGAGTTTCCAGGGGACTACTTCCATTGCAGGAGACCCGCGAAATGCGTACACATGAGCAATTCCACCTGCATGGGCACTAGGTTGCCCTACGACACGACGAGTATGGATCTCATTCCATACTATACAACACAGGAGGCAATAAGAGTAAGATTACATCATTTTTTTAATATAGGGTAAAGTTTCCATCCGAAATAATACTCTTTTGAAGTCATTTATTTAAACTTGGTATTCAACACCTTTATTTATTTGATCATTTTTTTTTGTGCTGACTTATTCAGACTTCGTTAGGTGTTGCAACATGTACAGTTGGAAATAGCAAATCAGCAATTTGTATACAAAGCAGATAAGCTTTGAAGAAAACATTAAATAAAATTTTCATTCAGATGTTGAGCTCTAAAATTAAAAAAAAAAAGTTTTCAATTTTCTAATTTTAATTTTTTTTTTGCAGGAAAAATTATATTTATTACAAAGTCTGAAACATATTCCTAAATGTTGGGCTGTAGTTCAACCATTTTTGTGTTCAGTATTCATGCCAAAGTGCATTAATGATACAGTGGATCTACCATCCCAAGAAATGTGTAGAATCGTTTCTGGCCCTTGTAGGATCATATTCAATCATACAATATGGCCAAGTTTCATCAAGTGTGAGGATACTAAGTTATTCCCAAAATTATGCAAAAACGATATTAGAGAAGTAAAATTCAATACAAGTGGAAAGTGCCTTGATCCATTAATACACACTGACAATCAATTAGCTATTTTTGAAGGAGTGGAAGGTTGTGGAATGCCTTGCAATGATCCACTTTATACTCAGGATGAAAAAATTCAAATTCATTCGTTTATTTCTTGGGCTGCTGGGCTTTGTTGCTTCTTTAATTTTTTTACTGTTGTAAGTTTATTGGAAATCTGTCATTAATCGATGTTTCATATAAGATTTGATGAATTCAACATTCAATTAAATGCAATTTTAGGTAACATTTTTGATTGATTGGAGAAGTGCCAATAAATACCCTGCACTGGTTATATTTTATATAAACTGTTGTTTCATGGTATCATGTATCGGCTGGCTTTTGCAATTCACGCGCGGAAGTAGAGAAGTCATTGTTTGCAGAAAAGATAACACACTAAGAATGAGTGAACCAAGGTACTCTTGTTATTTTACATTTATTACCAGCAGAATATGTTAACAATACTCTTTCAATTATTTTAGTGGTGAAAACCTCTCTTGTGTGGTGGTATTTGTACTGGTGTACTATTCGATAATGGCTGCCATGGTCTGGTTTGTTGTATTGACCTACACTTGGCATATGACTTTTCAAGCACTTGGAAAAATTCAAGACAGGATCGACAAAAAAGGAGCGTACTTTCACCTGCTGGCGTGGTGTTTGCCTCTTATGTTAACTGTAACTGTTATGGCGTTGGGTGAAATTGATGGGAATTATGTGACAGGAATATGCTTTGTCGGTTACAACAATCATGTTGTGAGAGCTTGGTTTGTACTTGGCCCTGTCTCAGTTGTTGTTCTCATTGGAGGATATTTTTTGTCAAGAAGTAAGATTTTGCACTTTTTCTGCCGAAAAAATATTTTGTCCGATGCGTAACAACTATATTATTCCAGGTTTAATAACACTAATTCGTCTTAAAATAAGCAGTCAAGAGGTTATATCAGAAAGAGTAAGTTCCAAAATTCGGGAAACGATAGTACGAATGGGTTTATTTTCAGTGTTTATATTTGTCACTGTCATCATAACATTTTACTGTCATATATACGAATTCAAACACACTTGGGAATGGAAACAAAGTTTCAGAGATTACATGATGTAAGTCAATTTTTCTACATTGAAAAACTTTTACTAGTTTCAGGTTTCAACAAATGAATGCGCAATTTGAATTTTTATAGGTGCTCCATAACATCAAAGTATGCAGACACATCAGAATGTAAGATAACATATAGACCAAGTGCTGGGAAATTGCAGTTACATCTATTGGCTCCTTTCTTTGCCGGTATTCTAATGTCTTCTTGGGTGTGGACCAGCTCTACAATCGACACCTGGATAAGGTTTTTTAAAAGGTAATTATTTTTTAACGTAATGCAACTCTCATTATTTTTCGATTTCTTTTGGATCTCACTTGTTTTCTCCTACTTTGTAGGATTTTTAATAGTGAGCCAGAGGAACCCGTAAAACTAAAAAAGCACAAAGTCATAGCGCAAGCTTTTGCTAAAAGAAAAATGTTCAACAGCGCCGGTCGTTTGTCGATAACTTTTCACAACACCCACGAGGATCCGGTAGGTCTGAATTTTGATCTCAACTCTGTAGCATCTCAAGACTTTAGCTCTACCTGGGCAGCTGCTTTGCCCAAATTGGTCACCAGAAGAGGAGCACTGGTTGGCGGATCGATGTCAAGTAATCGCCGAAACTCGACCGATTCTCAATACAGTTTTAGCTTGCGTCGCGTCTCGGTGGAGTCCAGAAGAAATTCCTGTGATTCTCAATTCGCCTTATCCTTTAGCGAAATGAAGGCAGATTTCAAAACTAGCAGAGTAAAAAATAGTAATAAGAGAAGAAAAAAACCGCCCGAGCGCTCGAGAAAGAGATCAGAGTCTTACAAGAGGGGCACCAGGCGGGATTATGAAAAGTGTAGGTCCAGGCCCAACAAAATGATTTCGCCTCATCGTAGGGGTAGCACGACCTCTCAGGAGAGCCAACTAGGAGTGCAGATTTTATCAGCTCTGTCGATTGGAGCTGCTTCAAATACGGCGCCAGTGCAAGGGCCTAACATGAAAAGACGACCTGGTCTGGATGAGGGTACACTGGCGTTGAAGGACGCAGAGAGACTGTTGCCATTTTTATTCACACAGCAAACTGATAGTGATGAGGATCTGAGCAGCGAAGAAAAACCTAATGGTATTATAGACAAAGACATAGACTTGGAAGTCGGCAACGAGAAGAATAATCAAGAAAGCGATAACGAGGACAGTCAGGCAGAAGAAGAGACAAAGATGCTGGAAACGAAGGATATTTGCGAAGGAAGCAAAAGTAAGATAAGCAATAAGAGCTTTAATCGAAATGACAGACGAATATCCACAGATTGTCAAGCTAAATATCTGCTGGAAGATGAAAAGTCTCTGAAACATTTGCTGAAAGACTCAAATGATTGTAAAATAAAGAATGAGAACAACGAAAGAGATAAAAAATTTAAAGAATCCACTTTGTCTTATAGTCCTGATTTGACGCGATTAATACAACACGATGTACAATCGAATGCCAGAGAAATGGCAACTCAAACTTTGCCTTTAAAAATGTTAGAGATGGAAGCTTTGAATCAAAGTATCGATGAAATTATAAATAGCCGGAGTTGTAACTCGAGAGGGACGCAAATTCCGCCGCTGATGAAAAAGAGTAAGAAACAACCAAAGTAAAACGAAAAGTTTCTTTTAAAAAAAGCTCTAATAACTTTCGAATAGACAATGGGTTACACATGATTCGTATACCACGCAACTTACAAAATTTATACATATTTTTAAGGTCTTAGGAAGATTAAAAATTAATGCCATTGCGAGTGTAAAAAAACGTACTAATGATTGTTTTATACATGTTTTTGTACACTTTATGAAAGTGCCTTATACATAACTGTCTTGATAAATTTAAGAAACTTTATTTATAGATACCATTGTATCTAAGAAATACTTGAAATTTTATACAAAAAATAATAATATTAAAGTGCAGCTTTTCATGTTCAAATACCAAGACTGTGATAAAAAGACTCAATACTTCGAGTTTTCTCGTAGAATACAACTTGTATTATTATTGAATTCTTTTAAAAAACAATGAAAATTTTTTTAAACCATATTAATNGTTTTGCCTTAACGACACGGAGTTCAATAATAATAATCTCCTTTCCATTAGATTTTCAAACCTTGCTAATCTCAAGTCCAAATCAATATCATCTGAAATGAGCAAAAAAATGTAGACAGTTTATAAATACTATGAGATCATAAAATTTCCAGATTATTTGATCATATTTTCACCATCTTCTGTAGGGTTGTCAGCAGCCTCTTCCATCCTTTTTTTAAGACTGAGTTCTTCAAACTGTGCATAAGCATCGAAAACTTGAGAAAAATCCCTTACAGTAGCCACAGTTTGAACAGCTTCTTCATAAATATCTCGGGCCTAAAATTTAAATGACAAAGATGGACAAATGGTTCCGGTAAAAAGTTGAATAAAATTAATTAAAGAGTGAGGTTTTTTCATACCCGTTCGAAAAGACCACTTCTAACATAATAATCTGCCAAGGCGTTCCACAGTGGACCAGCTTGATCCGTGTAACGTCTCAAACCTCCTCTGATAATAGCATCGACATTAAGAGATTTAATTTTTGTAGGATTCTTTGATATCAAATCGCAAAGTTCGTTCCACAACTGGTGCTTGGATTTTCCATGTTTTGATACAAAATCATTCTGATTAACTATGTAAGTTAATTTCATGGCTGCTTCGTCCAATCTTTCGATTGATATCAAATAATCAATGTACTCTTCAGTTTCTTCTGGTGCAAGCTACACAGGCAAAGAAATTATGAAATTCGAAGAAAATTCAAACAAATAAAAAAAAAAGGCTTTTGACAGAAAAAATTGCACACCTTTAGATATCTTCTAAACACTCTAACCGCAGTCTCATGGACTTCGTGCTGCTTAACAAACTCGATGTACAGTGGCCATACTCTGTGATGCTGAGTGATGGGAAGAGCTCTGAGAGCGCGGTCAAAGACATGTCGCGTACGCGTGACGTAGCCTTGATCTGTCATCAGTGCACAATAATCCATCCAAATACGCGGCATTTTGTGCATAAACACCAGAGCTCTTTCAAATGTGTTATTTACGACTTCGAAAAGAGAATCCGTGATGCATCGACCCTTCAGCTGCTTAACTCTGTTTTTCAGATAGTTGTACCATAATTTATAACTGAAAAAATTGTTACACTATTAGTATTGCCGTTGAAGAAAATAATTGAATAAAAATCATCTTATTATGATCACCTTCCAGGCAGCTCTTTCAGCGCTCGCTCGTAAACAATATTCAAGTTTGGACTCTTTGTAGTTCTCAAGTGGTCAATGTATCGCTGCCAGTGTTTGACAGAGTATGGATTCCTCAAGATCTCTTCCTCATAAGGTAGATCCTCTTCATTCTGCGTGGTGGAAAAAAAAAATTAAATATCGTATTAACAACGTACTTGGTTGTATTGGGTAAACATTTGGCATGAAAATTTCATGTATTTTGTACTTACAAATATGTAGTGCTGCTCTGGCCGCTCCATTTTTGAATGGCCGGGCTTTGCGTTGTCGACAACACCCATTGAAACTGCGAAATTATCGCATTATTTACAACTGACAGATTAATCAAGGAAATTATTATTGATATGCTCTGAGTATGCTTATGCGCTGGTTAATGTTTAATTCGAAGGAGGTTATGTTTTTTACTAGAGGGGGAATGGAATGGAGGGGAGCAGACTCCCCCCCCCAACACAACAACACTTTCCCCACGTCGGAGAAATTGGCGCGTTTTTTTAATAAATAACTGTGTCGGCGACACTGTGCCCAAAAGTAAAAAGTGATTGACGTACTTATTATAAGAAATGTAGTGTAGTATAAATAATATAACTTTTTGCACCAAACTGCACTATAAAAAGATAATTAACTATTTTTGCTTCAAAGTTAATTATAATTTAATGTAAGCAGAAGGCAGCAACAAAATTCACAGTTTAAATGTTTACCACAAACCTATGATCTGTATTGTATATGTTAAATTGTACTTTTTGGTTCTACTATTTGTTTTTTTTTTTCAATAAGTTTTTCAATACAGTTGTTTATAAAATTTATCCATCCAAAAAAAATTTTTTTCCTCTAAGCACTATTACTTATTTTTCATAATCAATAAATATTTCCACAATTTTTCTGTGAATTATAACGTTGACGTATACAGCGGATACACTAGAGTTGCGTTGAGAATTGTTCACAAAAAAAGCTACTTAGGTACTAGCTTTAAATAAGGTCCCTTATTGGACGGTTTGATGCGTCTCTTGCATTCATTGGAAGATTAGCATCAGTAAAAACATCTTCTGTGACCACGACACCGAACCGAAACTGCTACCTTACTTATACAGAGAAAAATAAAGACTAAAAGTAGGTAAAAAAAATATACGTACGCGTAGGTGACAGTGGGTGCATGTACGGAAGATTAAAAAAGCAAGTGTAAGAGGTACTTTATTTTATAGGTACCTACTACCTACCTAGTCTGTTCTTATTCAGTCTCTTGTAATAAACGAGTTAATGCATTGCGCTTGTCTCTGTGGTTGAGAGAACATCAGCAAAGCACCTAGTGCTAGTAAGAATAGTAAGTAACCTCTTTTTATCGTGTATACTTATATACATAAAATTTACTTGCTTGCATTGACGCTTGACAGCAGCTGTCGTTTGTAAACAGAGTTGCTCCGAAAATGTTGAAAAACTAGGGATTACGTATTCCAAAAGATACACATATCACGATTTGCCCTTTCGCTCGCTTGTCACTCTGATTTCTCTATTGTCTTGATTGAGAGTGTGTATATCGAACGTACATTACAGGGAACCGACGACATCAGTGTTTTTTAGTGATACAAAAAACATATTATATCAAGAAATCTGTGAAGGATGACAATGGGCGATGATAGTCCAGTAACATCACTTGTTCTTCCAGTTATTTTGCGCCCTATTTTGGCAAAGGTATTTATTACTGTTGTTTCATGTAAATATTTTCATAAACAAAACGCAAGTGCAAACTATCCTTAATTCTGTTAAGGATTTGTTAAATTTTTCTTTATATCTTCAATTAAATTTTGTTAAGATTTTCAACTGTTGATTTTAAAAATTTGATCCTTTAGATTAGTTGAAAATTTCAGTAGTTAATAACCAAAAGTAATGGTAGAAAGGTTGTTTATATTGTAAAAAACTCAATAATAAATCATGTTTTGACTAACATAAAAAAAAAATACAAACTAGCTCTTTTATCTCAGAGTATTTCTTAAGAATTGAAAAGCAGAGATAGTCCCAACAGAGAAAGTAGGCAATAATACATTGCTCAAGATGCAGTGTCACTTACAAGTGAATTTTCTCTTGTAGTTAGAGAGACAAAACGTCGCTGCAGCTCAAACACTGCGAAAGGCATTGTCAAATGCCGAGCATAATCATCCAGGAATTGCCTATGACCTAGTCATGGGTCTTGTGCGTAGAGCAGACCTTAACCTGGACATGAACGAAAGTGTTTTGCGTCTACAAGGACTTGCTTCCGATTGTGATGGTAATTTCTACGCTTTTTTTATTTTTTCTCTTTTCTAATTACTTTTCTTCATGTTTTAAAACGTAAATGAGCTTATATCGGTTAAATTATACATTTAATTTGATTCTAGTTGTGGAGTACCGGACTGGGCGCTCAGAAAATGCATTTCTAGAACTTAACAGAAAATCTACTTCCCTGAAGAGGATATTGAGCAGGATTCCTGACGAAATTACCGATCGTAAAACATTCCTTGAAACAATCAAGTAAGTTCAACCAAAACATGTTGAAAGTTCAAATTATTTTATTACAATGCTTTCTTCAGTTTAATTTGTCTTTTAATTATTTTTTTTAGAGAAATCGCTAGCGCAATTAAAAAGTTGCTCGATGCCGTCAATGAAGTTACAGGATACATACCGGGATCTACTGGAAAGCAGGCCCTAGATCAACGTAAAAGAGAATTCGTTAAATATAGCAAGAGATTCAGCAACACATTGAAGGAATACTTTAAAGAAGGACAGTAAGTATACGTTTTCAGTCAATTACAAAATAAAGTTTAAAAAATATAAAAGTACTTGATTTTTTTTTCCAGAGCTAATTCAGTATTTGTAAGCGCCCTGTATCTGATTCTTCAAACAAATATGATTATGTTGACCGTAGAGGATAAGTGTGAATAAATTATTATAATATAGTTATAGCAATGTTTCATTATAGATCTATTAGTATTGCCGTTGAAGAAAATAATTGTATAAACATTCAAATTCTTAGGTTTTAATTTTATTTCAAATAATACAAAAAACTAAGGTCATCTTTTATTAATATTTACAGTTAATTTCATTCAATTTATTTACAAAAATAACGAGAATTATTCGTCGTCGTCGTCATCTTTACTCTTTAAGCTTCCAAAAACTTGTGCTGGAACATGCTGCTTCTCAATCGGAAGCTCTGTAATACAAAGATAAAAAGTGTTTATATCTAGCTTTGAAAAAACACACAACCCAAAGTAAGGAAACTTACCTTCTGCGTCTCCGTTCTCACTTCCATTCTCCTCGTCATCGTCATCTGTATCCATATCAATATCGATCTCATCGGGATTCATGACACGTTTGTCATCCTTACCACCTTCAGTGGCTCCACGTACGAAATTAATCGTGTGAGCAGAACGCTGGATCTCGGGTTGTGCAGCGGTCTCTGCAGCCTTATTGTCCAGAATTTTCATGGCGTCCAAAGTATCATTTACCTGGCTGGTAGCGCTACTCAGCATCTGGGCTGACATCATGTTAACTTGTGTATTGTACAATGCCTGAACACTGCGCTTTATCCTCAGCATTTCACGCATCGTATCTTCGTTACCATGGCTGACTTCGAACTCTTTCCAAATTTGCCAGAAGTTGGCAGTTACCTAAAACATAATTAAATCAGTATGAATAATATAAAAGATTTTCCCTTTGGTCGTGAATTTTTTTTTCTACCCACCCTGGGATCGCAAATTTGACTGCAATGTGCGTAAATAGCTCTGGCTCTGTCCACTTCACCGAGTTTTGTTTCCATTTCTGCAAAGCGCAGGCACATCTCGCGAGTGCTCTCTTCATTAAGAACTTCAATAGCCTTTTCGTAAATTTCTCTCGTTTTTGGAACGCCATAGATATCGGCCGCTTTCTTGATATAAATATTGAACATCTACAAATATTAATGTCAATCATTAATATAGTTCCGTATAAATAGTAAGATACATTGAACGAATAAAAATTTATATTCAGTACCTCGAATTTTTCTTCTGGCAAAACAGCACTAGTTGCCCTTTCATAAACAGCCATAGCGTGTCTAGATAAACCATGTTCCTCTTCCAATTTAGCGTAAAGAAGGTACAAAGCTACATCACAAAAATAATTAACTTGAGGATATTAATTACAGTTCTTTAGTAATAAAATAGTTGCATTACCTTTTGCATACTTTGCTGGACAGTGTTCCAAACACTGCTCAAATAAGTCACGTGTTCTCTCCAATTTTGATCCACCATACCGTTTTAGGAATTTAGTTAAATAAGTATTCCAAATATCAAACACATTTGGCCACTTGAACAACGCAATACCTTTTTCGTAAGCCTAAAAAAATCAAAATTTCATAAAAGTGAATCATTATGAATGCAAAGTGAACGCAAAAATATTCACATAATTTTAATACTCACTCTAAACGCTTCTTCAAAGTAATTGTTTTCCTCCAGGAATAAACCATAATTTATAATGATTTGTGGTGTAGCGATTTTCAAATCTATTATTTTATCATACACAGCTTTGCAGGTCTACAAAAATTGTTATAAAACTATGTATTGGTGTACTAAAAAAAAATAATAATAATAATAATAATATTTACAGTAAAATGTTACCTTGAACGTTCCAAAACTCTCTTCAAGGTCGGCATACATGGACCAAACCTTCAGAGACTTGTACAACCGCATCTGTACAGTTTCGGTTTCATCATGATAAGCAACTTTTCTTGATGGCATAACCGTGGCACGATGCATGAGCTTCAGAGCATCTTTGTAATTTCCATGCCTTATTTCCATTTCAGCCCACTCACACCAAACCGAAGCTAAATCATCGACTTTCATGTATGGAACGAGCACTGCTTTCTCAAATACGGTTCTGGCATCGGATATTTGTTCATTTTTTTCATAAAACTTTGCAAAGGCCACCCATAAACTGTGCAATTTACCAACCGCTATCTGTGGTTTAACTATTTGCACGGCTTCTGTGTATGTATGTATGATCTGAAAAATATTACAAATTTTGTTAAATGTCGTGGATATTGGAAATTCTTGTGATATCATAAAAAGCTTTTTTTTAATGTTACATCACGAGGTCGGCCTTCATATAATTCTACTCTCTTATGCCAGTCTAGTACGTTGTGAGGGTTTTGCCTTAACGACACGGAGTTCAATAATAATAATCTCCTTTCCATTAGATTTTCAAACCTTGCTAATCTCAAGTCCAAATCAATATCATCTGAAATGAGCAAAAAAATGTAGACAGTTTATAAATACTATGAGATCATAAAATTTCCAGATTATTTGATCATATTTTCACCATCTTCTGTAGGGTTGTCAGCAGCCTCTTCCATCCTTTTTTTAAGACTGAGTTCTTCAAACTGTGCATAAGCATCGAAAACTTGAGAAAAATCCCTTACAGTAGCCACAGTTTGAACAGCTTCTTCATAAATATCTCGGGCCTAAAATTTAAATGACAAAGATGGACAAATGGTTCCGGTAAAAAGTTGAATAAAATTAATTAAAGAGTGAGGTTTTTTCATACCCGTTCGAAAAGACCACTTCTAACATAATAATCTGCCAAGGCGTTCCACAGTGGACCAGCTTGATCCGTGTAACGTCTCAAACCTCCTCTGATAATAGCATCGACATTAAGAGATTTAATTTTTGTAGGATTCTTTGATATCAAATCGCAAAGTTCGTTCCACAACTGGTGCTTGGATTTTCCATGTTTTGATACAAAATCATTCTGATTAACTATGTAAGTTAATTTCATGGCTGCTTCGTCCAATCTTTCGATTGATATCAAATAATCAATGTACTCTTCAGTTTCTTCTGGTGCAAGCTACACAGGCAAAGAAATTATGAAATTCGAAGAAAATTCAAACAAATAAAAAAAAAAGGCTTTTGACAGAAAAAATTGCACACCTTTAGATATCTTCTAAACACTCTAACCGCAGTCTCATGGACTTCGTGCTGCTTAACAAACTCGATGTACAGTGGCCATACTCTGTGATGCTGAGTGATGGGAAGAGCTCTGAGAGCGCGGTCAAAGACATGTCGCGTACGCGTGACGTAGCCTTGATCTGTCATCAGTGCACAATAATCCATCCAAATACGCGGCATTTTGTGCATAAACACCAGAGCTCTTTCAAATGTGTTATTTACGACTTCGAAAAGAGAATCCGTGATGCATCGACCCTTCAGCTGCTTAACTCTGTTTTTCAGATAGTTGTACCATAATTTATAACTGAAAAAATTGTTACACTATTAGTATTGCCGTTGAAGAAAATAATTGAATAAAAATCATCTTATTATGATCACCTTCCAGGCAGCTCTTTCAGCGCTCGCTCGTAAACAATATTCAAGTTTGGACTCTTTGTAGTTCTCAAGTGGTCAATGTATCGCTGCCAGTGTTTGACAGAGTATGGATTCCTCAAGATCTCTTCCTCATAAGGTAGATCCTCTTCATTCTGCGTGGTGGAAAAAAAAAATTAAATATCGTATTAACAACGTACTTGGTTGTATTGGGTAAACATTTGGCATGAAAATTTCATGTATTTTGTACTTACAAATATGTAGTGCTGCTCTGGCCGCTCCATTTTTGAATGGCCGGGCTTTGCGTTGTCGACAACACCCATTGAAACTGCGAAATTATCGCATTATTTACAACTGACAGATTAATCAAGGAAATTATTATTGATATGCTCTGAGTATGCTTATGCGCTGGTTAATGTTTAATTCGAAGGAGGTTATGTTTTTTACTAGAGGGGGAATGGAATGGAGGGGAGCAGACTCCCCCCCCCAACACAACAACACTTTCCCCACGTCGGAGAAATTGGCGCGTTTTTTTAATAAATAACTGTGTCGGCGACACTGTGCCCAAAAGTAAAAAGTGATTGACGTACTTATTATAAGAAATGTAGTGTAGTATAAATAATATAACTTTTTGCACCAAACTGCACTATAAAAAGATAATTAACTATTTTTGCTTCAAAGTTAATTATAATTTAATGTAAGCAGAAGGCAGCAACAAAATTCACAGTTTAAATGTTTACCACAAACCTATGATCTGTATTGTATATGTTAAATTGTACTTTTTGGTTCTACTATTTGTTTTTTTTTTTCAATAAGTTTTTCAATACAGTTGTTTATAAAATTTATCCATCCAAAAAAAATTTTTTTCCTCTAAGCACTATTACTTATTTTTCATAATCAATAAATATTTCCACAATTTTTCTGTGAATTATAACGTTGACGTATACAGCGGATACACTAGAGTTGCGTTGAGAATTGTTCACAAAAAAAGCTACTTAGGTACTAGCTTTAAATAAGGTCCCTTATTGGACGGTTTGATGCGTCTCTTGCATTCATTGGAAGATTAGCATCAGTAAAAACATCTTCTGTGACCACGACACCGAACCGAAACTGCTACCTTACTTATACAGAGAAAAATAAAGACTAAAAGTAGGTAAAAAAAATATACGTACGCGTAGGTGACAGTGGGTGCATGTACGGAAGATTAAAAAAGCAAGTGTAAGAGGTACTTTATTTTATAGGTACCTACTACCTACCTAGTCTGTTCTTATTCAGTCTCTTGTAATAAACGAGTTAATGCATTGCGCTTGTCTCTGTGGTTGAGAGAACATCAGCAAAGCACCTAGTGCTAGTAAGAATAGTAAGTAACCTCTTTTTATCGTGTATACTTATATACATAAAATTTACTTGCTTGCATTGACGCTTGACAGCAGCTGTCGTTTGTAAACAGAGTTGCTCCGAAAATGTTGAAAAACTAGGGATTACGTATTCCAAAAGATACACATATCACGATTTGCCCTTTCGCTCGCTTGTCACTCTGATTTCTCTATTGTCTTGATTGAGAGTGTGTATATCGAACGTACATTACAGGGAACCGACGACATCAGTGTTTTTTAGTGATACAAAAAACATATTATATCAAGAAATCTGTGAAGGATGACAATGGGCGATGATAGTCCAGTAACATCACTTGTTCTTCCAGTTATTTTGCGCCCTATTTTGGCAAAGGTATTTATTACTGTTGTTTCATGTAAATATTTTCATAAACAAAACGCAAGTGCAAACTATCCTTAATTCTGTTAAGGATTTGTTAAATTTTTCTTTATATCTTCAATTAAATTTTGTTAAGATTTTCAACTGTTGATTTTAAAAATTTGATCCTTTAGATTAGTTGAAAATTTCAGTAGTTAATAACCAAAAGTAATGGTAGAAAGGTTGTTTATATTGTAAAAAACTCAATAATAAATCATGTTTTGACTAACATAAAAAAAAAATACAAACTAGCTCTTTTATCTCAGAGTATTTCTTAAGAATTGAAAAGCAGAGATAGTCCCAACAGAGAAAGTAGGCAATAATACATTGCTCAAGATGCAGTGTCACTTACAAGTGAATTTTCTCTTGTAGTTAGAGAGACAAAACGTCGCTGCAGCTCAAACACTGCGAAAGGCATTGTCAAATGCCGAGCATAATCATCCAGGAATTGCCTATGACCTAGTCATGGGTCTTGTGCGTAGAGCAGACCTTAACCTGGACATGAACGAAAGTGTTTTGCGTCTACAAGGACTTGCTTCCGATTGTGATGGTAATTTCTACGCTTTTTTTATTTTTTCTCTTTTCTAATTACTTTTCTTCATGTTTTAAAACGTAAATGAGCTTATATCGGTTAAATTATACATTTAATTTGATTCTAGTTGTGGAGTACCGGACTGGGCGCTCAGAAAATGCATTTCTAGAACTTAACAGAAAATCTACTTCCCTGAAGAGGATATTGAGCAGGATTCCTGACGAAATTACCGATCGTAAAACATTCCTTGAAACAATCAAGTAAGTTCAACCAAAACATGTTGAAAGTTCAAATTATTTTATTACAATGCTTTCTTCAGTTTAATTTGTCTTTTAATTATTTTTTTTAGAGAAATCGCTAGCGCAATTAAAAAGTTGCTCGATGCCGTCAATGAAGTTACAGGATACATACCGGGATCTACTGGAAAGCAGGCCCTAGATCAACGTAAAAGAGAATTCGTTAAATATAGCAAGAGATTCAGCAACACATTGAAGGAATACTTTAAAGAAGGACAGTAAGTATACGTTTTCAGTCAATTACAAAATAAAGTTTAAAAAATATAAAAGTACTTGATTTTTTTTTCCAGAGCTAATTCAGTATTTGTAAGCGCCCTGTATCTGATTCTTCAAACAAATATGATTATGTTGACCGTAGAGGATAAGTGTGAATAAATTATTATAATATAGTTATAGCAATGTTTCATTATAGATGTGCGATTTTATTAACAAATGACGTTTTCACGCATATATATATATA